TCTTTCATCTTTTTTAGGAACAAGTGTTAATTTATATCACTAATTCATTAAATATGATGCTTGTAAGAGCAGCTCGGTTTATATTTTAGAATTTAGATTTTAACTTAACAATCCTCATGCTTAAACATGTCCAAAAAAGATTTCTTTTTCTTGTAAAGGTAAGTGTCTGATCAGCTTAGCCTAAACCCAGCCTTGTCTGCAGTATTTCTACAGCTATCGCAAAATCTCCAACCTAGAGTCAGAAACCTGGAAGGAAAAGACAGGACCCTTAAATTCCCTGAATTTGGTGCTGCACTGAACCTTATTTTTTCCCACCAACTCTTATATCAACCTTTTCCCTGAGATGGATCGTATTTATCCCCAGCTATCCTGGCAAATTCCACGCGGTCTGAATTTACAAGCCTGGTTAAAGAAGGGAAGCAGCAGAGCACACGCGCACCGAGACGCAGAGCAGCGCGGCTCCGCAGCGATGCAGCCCGTGCCCTCAGCAGGACAAGGCAGAGTGCACTGCTCCTAAGCAGGGGAAGTAGCTTCTCATTACTGCAAAGGTGGCTTTATTGCTGCTTTCCTGTACATAAATCAAGAAATCCTTCTCTAAGAATATCTGCTGCATTGCCTCATAGGGTTTCCAGATCCTCGCTGTGGAGTGTTACAGGTCTGAGAGGGGCACGAGGTCTATGTTTATAGGGGCAAAATGTGGTCAAATCCCCCAAATGAGTCAGTCACCACRTGGCAAGAGCAGAAGAAATAAGACAGGAGGGGTTCCACTGCCACAGCTTCTTTGGAAAGTAACTATTTTTTCATAACTGTGTTGTCACTGTATTTCCAAGACCACATTGGAGCCTCATTACATCAGTCTGGTCTGTAATACATGTCTATTTATTTTATCCCATAGCTTCTGAAAGAGCCTTCAAAGACACTTGCTTAAACCAGGCTTTCCATCCACTAATTAAATGTTAACAATCCCTTGTAATGAGCAACATATTTTTTCCCCAAAATGTAAATGTCTAAGGTGGCCGATCATGTCAGCACCAAAGCGACAGGTCATTTCTGGAGGATCCTCCATCACAAACATCAGTGAATACTAAAGTCACTGAAGGGCATCTGAAGCAGAAGCAATTTTCTCACAGTCTTGACACCTTCTAGTAAATTAGTCACTTGTCGAGGAAAATGACAGCTATGTAGCAATAAAAAAAGCTTGTAGAACTCTTCATTTATTCTTGGAAATGTTGTCTCTGTCACTGCCAAGCAACAGCAAAATCCCCGCTTTGTTTTATTCTGGAGTGCCCTAACAAGAGGGCTTTTTGCAACTCATTCCTTAATGAAGTTTAAATAATAAGCCCTAAATGCTTTTTTTCCCCATACCTCTATGACTCTTTTCTGCATAAGTCAGTCCACTGCGGCTAAATACAAAACGAAAAGCTGCTGCAATTAGTATTTTAATGCAATATCATTCCAAGATAGAGCCATGAGAACTGCAGCTTCGGAGGGCTGTCATCTATTTGGCTATTCTGCTTATTATTCACAATAAAACTCTGGTATCTTCAACATGTTACATGGTACCTCTGCATGCAATTTCAGGGAAAATACTCGTAGAGCAAGATACTGTAAGGAGCCTCTTGGAATCTATCCTAGAGAAAGAATAAAACTGGAAAGCCATTTCAGACTTGTTTTCCCTCCGCATATGCTCACATTCAAAATTTAGAAGCAAGTGATATGAATTTAATGCCCTTATAATTGGCTAGATATGACAATCATTGAAAAGTGAAATCCTTTCATTTACATGACATGATATGGATAGAGGAGGAACATCTAAAAATGGATGCTCTAAAATATAGTAGGATTGATTGTCTGCAATGGCAAAAGGGTAACTGCTGTTATAGGGGGAAAAAAGAAATTGGGCAAATTCATATAAATGTTCTTTGGAGAATAAGCACTTAGTGGCTAAACTAGTTGACATACTGTACACATCAATTATGGTACAGGCCAATTACTGCTGGTACCTGGAATGCAAATTCAGGCATAGAAAGTCTGAATATTGCAGGAAAGCATACATATGTATATATTTATATGTACATTATAGATATATCCCTAACATCTGGAGTCCTTATACTGACGGGGCAGTTTCCTGGACTCACAGAATCACACAATATATATTTCAGCTGGAAGGGACTTCTGGAGGCCCAATGCCTGCACCAAGCAGAGCTGATCTCGAAGGAAGAAAAGGTTGGTCAGGACCCTTTTCAGTTGAATTTTGAGAATTTCCAAGGAATCTACGGTCTCTGTGGGTAATCGAGGAGTCTACCTCACTACAAGTGTGATCAGCTGTTATCTTTTGTGATTTCACTGTGCACTTCCAAGTAAAAGTCCAGCTCCATCTTCTCTAAGTGCAGCTCCATCCCTCCACTTCCCACCAAACACTTCAAGAACATCCCTCAGCCTTCTCGAGGCTGAACAAACCCAGCTCCCCCAGGCCCACCTCACATTTCATTCAAAAATCTCCAAGGACCCCCATCTGGCTGGAGAAGTCCAGGACCACAAGCCCTGAGGTGCTGAGATCTGTGAACAGGGAAGCTCCTCCAAGGTGTGAAAGCACWCAACCTGCTTGGCTGCAGGGCTGCTCACTGACAGTGTGGTAGCYCATCCTACCCTTCTCACACCCTAGACGCTCTTGAAGACTTCAACAAGCAGCAAGGAGAAGGAGAAGCAGCAGCTTTCTAAAAGTTTCCCTTACTATGACTTTTATTGATAAGATACAGACKCACTGCAAATCTAGCAGCTTTACTTTTCAGAAGCAGCATGGCTAGGGCGGCCTTCAGAGCCAGCTTTCACTGGCTTCTCCATGGAGCTTGCTCCCCTCGTTTGCAGAAAACATCTTGAAAATCTTGCATTGATTTCACCCAAGGATTCATCTTCCTGAAACCCCATTCAACCTGAATAATAACCAGCAAATTGGTTCTATCATATCATATAATTATGGAAACCAGAGCTCTAATGAAAAATCATGGTTAAATATAAAAAGCGAACCTGGCACTGAAATAATTTTTGCTTAAACCCACCATGCTATCGGATTTTCCCATGATTACACCCAAAACAGCAAATACCTTTCTATTTGAAGAATTGAGAGCTGGAGAGCTCTTTGCAGAGCAAAAAAACAACCATGATACTACTCTACTGCTCTTAAAATTCTGTCCGAGTAATATTAACACAAAGTATGTGCATCTACTGGAGCATAAAGGTTATCTTCACACACAGAAGCAGGAATAAATCTGAGGACAATTTACAGAGCTCCCTTTGAAAACACTGAGGAAAGGCTTGTGGTCAAAACCTAGTTAAAGACGTTTCCTCTTTTGAGCATCAGTTTGAAACATGTTTTTTTTTTTCCTTCAGATACAGCCCACATACTGTCAGGGCTTTTCTTTCTTTTCCTTTGTTTCCAGATTATGTAACAAATTCAGTTCATTTTTAAAGAATAGGTTCTAACCTTCTGAAGGAGTAAATTACTATGTCAAGCTTCTTTAGCTAGCATACCGATACAGTATTTTTTTCAATGAAAATAACCTTTTGTTAAAGGTTTTATTGGATTTCCCAGCAGACTGACAACAGTCAAATCTCTAACCCATCTGCTGCAATCACTCTAGACTCTGATCTCATAGTCTCAATCATGAAATTCGTCTTAACACTTTTGTTCAGATCGCTGTATCTTCCAAGTGCTTAATCACACAAAAGGCAGGAGCCGAAAGCCTTTACCCACACTGAACTTCTCAAATAGTCCTAAGGCAAATGTGGCCTCAAGCAAACTACCAGTAAATCTTTTTAAAATGACGAGAAAATTTCCCTTTTTAGTTTGTAGCAGCAATCACAGATTACTCCGTAGCGGCCCACAGGCAGTTCTTTCAAAATCCACGTGCTTCATCTTTAGCCAGGAAGAACAGGTTACTGTAGTAGTAACTGCCTCTCAAGCATATATCCCTTCCCATAATACCACGATCACAGAATCACAGAATGGTTAAGGTTGGAAGGGACCTCTAGAGATCATCTAGTCCAAACCCCCTGCTCCAGCAGGGACACCCAGAGCACGTGGCACAAGATCACATGCAGGCGGGTTTGGAAGACCTCCAGAGAAGGAGACTCCACAACCTCCCTAGGCAGCCTGTGCCAGGGCTCTGTCACCCTCACAGGAAAGAAGTTCCTCCTCACCTGGAGATGGAACTCCCCGTGTTTTGACTTGTACCCATTACCCCTTGTCCTATCACTGTCCACCACTGAGAAGAGCTTGGCCCCGTCTTCCCTCCCTTCAGGTATTTATACGTATTGATCAGAGCCCCTCTCAGCCTTCTCTTCTCCAGAGAAAACAGGCCCAACTCACCCACTCTCTCCTCATACGAGAGASACTCCAGTCYCTTAAWCATCTTTGTTGCTCTCCACTGGACCCTCTCTAAAAGCTCCACGTCCCTCATGCTGGGGWGCCCAKAACTGMMCMCARTACTCCAGGTGCGGCCTCACCAGAGCTGAGCACAGGGGCAGGATCCCCTCCCTTGACCTGCTGGCAACACTCCTCCTGATGCAGCCAGGATCCCATTGGCCTTCTTGGCCACGAGGGCACTGTTGGCTCCTGGTTAGCTTGTTGTCAACCAGGACTCCCACGTCCCTCTCCATGGAGCTGCTCTCCAGCAGGTCAACCCCTAATCTGTGCTGGTGCCTGGGGTTATTCCTGGCCAGATGCAGGACTCTGCACTTGTCCTTGATGAACCTCACGAGGTTCCTCTCTGCCCAACTCCCCAAGCTGCCTAAGTCCCTCTGAACGGCAGCACAATGATACTGGAGCTTTAATTTCTGAAACAGCAGCAAAGCATTGCAACAGGACCACTTCCCAGAACACTTCAAGTATTTCYGTTATTTTGTTTCTATATCAGCTACTGTGAAAGAATAAAGACCCTACTCAAATGTTTTATCCACCATCACCTTAAATACTTGGAGATTTCATGGAGAAATTTTACCTCTTGATTGTAAACCATGTCCACAGGCCTCGCTGTGTCCTAGTATATCCTGTTGCACTGAATCCGGCACCAAGACACAGTGACTCCATCGATGGGTCTTCCACCTGTCAGAAGAAAAAGGTTAATTATTGAAGTGGTGAAAACTGGAAGACAGCTAATACTTACAAGCAAAACCTTCAGAAAGTTGAGTTACCAATGACGAGATACTGCAGAAATGTTAGGAAAATTAGTTTTAAAAGCTATAATTACACCTGGTATAAGCACTGCCAAGCAGTATCGGCATTGAAAGATTAACCTCTAGAAAGCCACATCCATCCTCCATCCCAAAGGACACAAAACAGCTTCAGTGGGCTTTGCAGCCAGGCTCTCCTGCACCCTCCTTCTTGTATAGTTGATGATTTACCTAATCTGGCTTCTACATTATGCAGCATAGAGTTTTGCCAAGCTGAGCGTTATTAAGACTGCTGTTTTGTCACCACGTTCAGTTTTGCACTGTGCTTTGAGACCACGTCCTAAAGGACATGTGGGCTGAAGGTTTATACAGAAAGATCTAATATATTTCTATTTACTAACATTGTGTAGCAGATGGGTCATAGAATTTTAATGAACAGTGGTGAGAAATTGCCCTATTGTACTGTTTGTCTAATCAGAAATTTTTAAAGTGCATATTATTATTCACTGCAATGAGAGAGCCTGGAGAAAAGACAGGGTTTCTGCAATGTGCATACAATTATGATAAAGGCGGTTGAGTGCCTGTGGTCCCAAAATAGATTACAATGATTTTTGCATATATTCAGGGAGGAGTTCCCAGTAATACTTTTCTTACACATTTCAAACCCAGAGGTTACCTTTTATAGGAGGTGTGATTACTTGTGCTTGTTTTGATGATGCCAGATCTACTGAAATCTCCAATTTAAATTGTACCTACTTGTACTATGCATTTTACAAGAGGTTTATTATTCACACACTGTGATTTGCTTCTAACCCTGCATTTTCCAGTTGTGTGTTATTTTCTGGTAAAAACTCTACAGGGTGATCCCATAAGATTAATTTCTAGAAAATCAGAAAGCCACTGGCAAGAAATTGGTTTGGAGCTAATTCTTTTTACCTATACACTGGACAGACAGGAACATCTTCACATTCTCTTTCTTCATACAAGGTGTCTGGACAGGCTTGTCCCCCATTGGCAGAATCCTGAATGATGATCCTGTATCGAGACTGCTTTATTGCTGTGGCATTGCCTGTAAAACAAACAGAAATTTGCCTGCCACACAGTTGGCCCCCTCAGTGAATGATCTAGCTGTCTTGGTTAAAAAATGTCTTGCATTACATTTATATTTTGAGAACATGAGCCCTCTGGCACTATCCGAAGAAGTAAGGGGAGCAGTACTTTGTAACAACAGATATCACTGCCTGCTTTAGAATCACAATCAGTTCAAGAGAAGTGCATCTGGAAGGTTTATAAATCAACAGCTTCAGAATGAGAAAAAGAAAAAAAAGCCWTTTTCATAGGACATCAAATCAGCCAAGAACAAGACTTAAACAACTATTTATAATGAAGATGAAAAAAGAAAGTAATCATTAAAGAWTTTGTTTTTGAGAATATATTCTGGTGGTCTCAGACTGCTGCCAAGAACTCAGCTTTTAGAAGGTCTGGAAATTATAAATGATAACTTCTTCATAAGAGGAGTATGAACCGACAGAGGGTAATTCTGAACTTAACACCAGCCTAATGCAAGGTCAATCCATCTAGAAACACAGCTGACAAAGTCTGCAATGGAGCAATASAGCAGGCTGCGCTCTGGGACGCAGCAGGAGCGAGGAGGAAACGAGGTAGGACCAGTGTCATTCCCTGGCTAGAACAGATGGGGTGGAAGGGGCTCCTTGGCTGTCCAGAGTGTCCAACGTGGAGACTGAGAGTTGGTAGAAGTGCCACTCATGGCCGTTGTGCTCTTACTGGTCCTGTATTCCCCCTTCAAAAACAGATGTCATAACACTGAAAAGGGATTTTGATGGAACTACATAAATTACAGACCAAGAGAATATGTTAATAGTGGGCATCCTCAAATCCAACTTGTCCAGGAGAGAAAAACAGTATGTAAAATAGCCTGCTTGTACAAATGTTATTTTGAGAGCTCAAGATAAAGGCAAACAGAAGGTACAAATGCAATCAATTAGTCATCTCCCAAAACACCAGTTAAGCAAGCCCTCATTCTCACCAGTGCTCAGAYTGAGATCACTCCTCCCCAGCAGCAGCATCAGGAAGCCCAGGGCAATCCCCATCCTGGTTCTTCAGCAGCCACAGACACCGCAGCTGTCTACAATCCCCCTTTGGATGACCACTGCAGTGCTAGCCAAGCCTCACCGAGAACTGGTCCCTGGAACCTAACCCAAATCACCACTCCAGTACATTTAGACCATCCCTTTTTACCTTCACTAGACATGGAAAAATGTGAGATCACTATCGACTGCTGAAGAGCCTTTATAAAAGGTGAAGGGCTTACATCCATCCTAAATCCTTGTTCTRGATTAAGCAAAACAAGTACTTTATAGGTCCTACATCAACCGTCTTGCATTAGTGACTGTCTACAGTCAGTAGTCAGTGTCCAAATACAGTGTCCAATACAGTGTCCAAAGAATCCCACCTGTGGCCTCACCGGTGCAATGTACAGTCATACTTTGATGCCTTACATAYGACAAGACCATGTAAAACCAATATGAGATTTACCTTTCAAATTGTTGACTTTCATTCATTTTGCAGTCCATTACATCTCCAGGGGCCCTTCCGACAGTACTAATGTCTTTACTTCCCATTTTATGCAATTGATTTTTCTTTCCCAAGACACATTTTGAGCAATTTCTCAAAGATTTCAACATCATTTAATATACAGCCTACTACACCTGCTACCTTTWCCAGCTATGTATCAACCCCAAATGTTATTATTCAAGTTCTGAAGTTGTTAAGACAAATATCAAATAGAATTGGACCAAGAACAGTTTCTCTACAACCCTCCTTGGCACACATTCCAGTTTCAACGGTCAAAAATCTACCACTTCCTCCACACTCACATTAGACCAACTATGCTGCCAACAGATGAGACTTGGCTAAACTCACTGGGCAGCTTTTCTRTTCTCAGCAAATTCATATTGCCCAGTTTATTATTTTCATATTTAAGACGTTTATAACTTGACTAATATTTTCCTCTTTTTTTTTCTTCCTGCACAATTAATATCTACTCCATAATTTCCTTTGTCTTTTTTTTTTCCTGTTGTGTTACATTTCTGCGTTTTGTTTAGTCCCCATCAATTTAGAATCAATCAATGTTTAGGACCTATCAATTTCTATCCCAGCAGACAGTCATTAAAAGCCTTGGCATTATATTATTGCTTCCTTCTCTATTCATGCAGATCCACTGAAATGAAAATACCTATTTTAGTGAAATTCATATTTTTATTCCATTCCTTTCCTGCTGCAGACTGAAAAAATGGCAGTGTTCTCTATGTTGCCTTTCCCTCTTTCCTCATTAAGTAATGGACATACATTTTTTTTAGCTTTCCCTTATAACTACTCTATTTATGCAATTCTTCTTATTACTGAATATCCTCKTGTAACTTACTCTGCATTCTCGATTTTTTTAGGCATTACTCATATTTAAAAACCCATATTAGTTACACGCTTGTTTCTCATTTTTGTGAAACAAATTGAAAATCAAGGGGAATCGGGATTCTGAACAATTCTGATGATGAGAAAAGAAAAAAACAGAGCCATGCTAACTGTGTTCTTGTTTTTTCTCTTTTCACAGTTTGAAGCCTGAATATTCAAGTTCTCTACAGGCACACACATTTGTTCACCTCTGTTACCATCCCTATCTGCTATTGAAATAGTTTCAAGATGGGAAGCTGCGTAATTGCTCAGTCAGGCTTCAGACCTTAGAACAGTCTTTCTTGGCAGCTCCCAGATTTTCTATGCTCCGTTTGCACTGAGCACATTCCCATGAGGTACAGCCACCAATTCTCTGAGTTTGTTGAAGGCCATCTTTTTAAAATCTGTCTTGATGATATTGCCATTCTTTCCTCCTCCTAAGAATCTTGAACTCTTGTCACTTCGAGATGATTTCCATTCAAATTACCTTCCACCACTAGAATCTTAGCCATTTCCTTTCTATTAATCAGTACCAAATCTAAATGAGCTTCCCATAGCAATTTTCTCCACCTCAAGAAACTAAATTCTCCTCAACATTCACTGCACATTACTCAGACCCCATTTTCAAAATTGAATTTCCTCATTGGCTTTTCTACAGCCTTCATCACAAATGTTAATGAACATAGTTTTTATATATCATTTGAGACTGTTATAGTCTGATTTTCCAGAGTATTAGCATTATTTAGTACTTCACTTTTAAAGCTCAACTTCAGCTGATTTCAAGTGCAGCTATGACTGCTTGCCCTCCTGAAAGATCAAACCCCGGGGTCTCAAGACAACCTTAACTCCTATGCCCTTGACTTTGCAACTTTGATAATGCCACTGGAGAATGTTTGGGGCGCAGGCTATTCTTTAGGATTTTAAAAGTCAACTCCCTTCCTTTCTTCAAAGAAATGCCAATATGCCATCACAGGGACAGAAGGACAGAGACATTTAGACTATGCCATTTGAGTCTGCAGGGCGCCTGACAGTGCTCATCGCTCCCTGTGCCGGCTGTGGCACCTGGACACGCTTGTCGTATCCGTACCAGGCTGTGATAGCAGCGTGTGGAAAACCCAGGAACCAGGCCAGTTTTGAACTTTATAATTAAGCTCTACTTAAGTCATTGATTAAGACCACTCTTCACCACCCCTACATACATGAAGCTGCTAGTCTCTGAGACCTATATCCTAAACAGGCTGTGTGGATACAACACCATGGAATCAGTGCCCTATTTTCTGCTCTGAGGGCTACACTTGTGCCCTTGACCCCCTTGCCCATCAACTCCCACCACTTGTCCCAGGACAAATGTCCAGGACTCTGAAACATGAAKCACCATTGCCAGAAGAGGTGCAAACTTATCACTACCAAAAGTCTAAGACTAAGCAAGSTGGGYCTGGTTAGCCTGGAGAAGAGAAGGTTGAGAGGGCATCTGATCAATACGTATTAACACCTGAGGGGAGGGAAAATTGGCCCAAATTATTCTCAGTGGTGGCCAGTGACAGGACAAGGGGCAATGGGTATAAGCTGAAACACGGGAAGCTCCATCTCCATGTGAGGAAGAGCTTCTTTCCTGTGAGGGTGACAGAGCCCTGGCACAGGCTGCCCARGGAGGTTGTGGASTYTCCTTCTCTGGAGGTCTTCCAAACCCGCCTGCATGTGATCTTGTGCCACGTGCTCTGGGTGTCCCTGCTGGAGCAGGGGGTTTGGACTGCATGATCTCTAGAGGTCCCTTCCAACCTCAACCATTCTGTGATTCTGTCTGATTTTATTTTGCCAGAATAGCTGGGGCAGCTTTGACAGGCAGCATTCAGCTTCAGCATCTTTGCTCTTAACATGCACAGGCCAGACTGCACAWGATTTGTTGAGCAAACACATGATCAGGGTCAGTCCTAAAGATTTTTAGGCACCAAAATCAAAGTTACCTCCAGTACTTTTGTGGGGACAGAMCTTTTGAATGCATAAGCCTCTAAATCTAGCCAACTCTGGGTGAGTTTTTTTATGAGATAGACAATGGCAGATCCTTGACAGAAACTGTTCAACCCAAAGTAAAGGTCACTAGAATTATTTACCATGGCTAGGCCATAAATTTTTATCTACTTCTGCCCCATCTCATTTCCAAACTGATTTAAATCATGGGAGAAATAAATTGGAGAGATACAGGCTAACATTTCCTGTAAACTTGCTTACAGGACTGGGCAGCAGTGCAACCACTGGCCTGTGCTGGAAGAGGAGAGGGGCTGCGGGGCTCTGATTCAGCGCGGAGGAAGCGGCGTGGAGCATCCGGCCTCCGCGTGCAGCCTCCAGCCTCCCCTGACATCCAGCTGCAGAACACCAGAAAGCAGAAATCTCCACCTGTTGCTTACTGATTAGTTTAATACACACACACCCCCTTTCTCAATAATAGAAATCATCTAAAAACATATACATATGTATACTATATGTACGCATACAGGTAATCCCAGCTTTAGATAAGAGCAATCTGTCCAGGGCTGTCACTTTACACAAAGCTTGTACTTGAACAATCTTTCAAGAGGGCAATGAAAAATGGCATTCATTGTGGCTTCTTTAGGTTGGTRGCCACGTTTTAACCTTTCCATTTTATATCTATGCTGACAGGCCACAGAGAACGTCACCCGTGCCACAATCATGGAGTGCCCCAGCACACCTTGGCCACTGGGTTTGCTGGTGACGGAGAAACCCTTCCTGCCACCCACCTAAACCATTTCACATTCGGGAACCTGTATTTTTAATCTTGTCTCAGTTTATCCTGAAAGACCAATTAAAATAGATATATTACAGGGGAGCCCGGTAGACAGTTGTCACCTTTAAGTATCCGAAATGGCAGAGAATCAATAACTTGTAGCAACGTCCCTGTCCCTGACTCACCAACAGGTGTTTGAATCAATTGCACTTCTTTGGTGAATTATGTTGTCCATCCATCTGTTACCGCCCTGAGTTCACTGCTGTCTACACTTCTGAGGTGCAAGATAATCCTTTGCCAGAAGACAGCCTGTTGTGTTGTCTGATGACATTTAAATGCAGGGTAAATGTCAGCTTTTTTTTTTTTTTTTTTACTGTTAGACAGTAAAGTTGGGTGCATTTGCTCAGATAAACTACAAACAGCTTAACTGGTAAAGTTCTGTGTAAACCTGATTTAGAGACTGCATGTTTGCCTAAGCTCTGATCTTATGCTGCTACACATTTAATTTTACATTTGCCATTCAATACCTGCTCTTGCTTGATCTGCCTAGTAATTCACCATCTGTATATTGTTTTCATTAAACACAACTTTTCTATAAAAAATCAAAACACCCACATACGCACAGTGTTTTCACAATTTCATTATCATGCTGAAGGTTTTTTTTTTAATTGTGCAATATAAATTAAAAAAAAAAAAATCTTACAACGCAGCCGTATCAACAACAGATCAGTCAAAAAGCAAGCTCCCCCATCTAAGAAGCTTTAATTTAGAATTATATTAAAATGATAACACTGCCAAGGAGGTTAAATAATTAATTTCTTCTCATTTTAATTGTAGACTATTATTTAATAAACAAAGTAATTTACCAGGTAATTTATTCTACTTCTTCATAGGCAGCTCATTTAAAGTCTAAAAATAAATTGCTAATTAAAACAGGATTCACTGTTTTAGAAAGCAACTAATTTTCCTGTAAAATCTAAGAAGGACTATGCTAGAGCATCCACTGAGAATCTTTGAAGAGCAAGGAAGCTGCCAGCAAAAGGGCACTATTCTCATAACTAGGAGGGCTTTCATCTGAACAATTACAGAAACACACACAATTGTCACAAAAAAACAATACCAGATCATTATAAAGAAACTTTGCTAAACATCTATCAGACAAAAGCTTACCAGCTAGATGAAAGAGACTCTGCAAAGCACAGGAGTGACTTGCCCAACCCTGTATACTCATCTACATTTGTCAAGAGAAATACATTTCACATAAAATAGCAACTTCATATATGCCAATATAATGCTGGGGACTTGGGCTTCAGACTTTGCAGGCAGAAGCACAGAAGAAATTCCAATTAAAAGAGAACCTATATGTCCACATACGTTCATTAGGACCCAATCCCCCTTAAACATCTCAGTGTCTCCCCTATCCTGCTCTGCCTTCCCTGCAGGAAGGAATCCTCCCTGATGAACAAGGCATTGCACTCACATCCCGTGTCCCATGGAKGTGACGACAGGAGGGGCTCATGGATTTGTCCTTTCTCTCCTGGTTCACTACGGTGGCAACGCTGATCACTTCTGTTTGCGCTTGTGTTTGCRGGCATTGCCCATCTGGGCATTACACACACTGCCCAAGGCTGCCCATGAAATCCCCAAGCCCCGTTACAGCAGCGTCTGCTGCCAGGAACACACCGATTAAATACAAGAAATGTTGAGAAATCCTTCAGGTTTCTGCTTAGACCTTTTGGTCCATTTCCTTCCTTCTCTGTGAAAACATGAAGCCTTTGCTTTTCAGATGTAGCCTGAAGTCTTGGCAACAAATACTGAAAAATTGCAATTTACACTTCCCTCAATACTAACACAAAGACATATACTTTTATGAGGACCCCAGCRCCTGGATACATAGGAAAGTTTCTTTCTCTAATAGCCAAGAGACAAAGTCTCTGAAGCTGATGTGCAGCTGCAAGATGGACACAGCTGCAGGTGGAGGGACAGGTTCCAGGTCAGGAGCCYTCACTACAGGAACTCAGATGCTCTAGCAAGACACACTTTGAGACCACGGAGAGCACAGCTAAATCATAGTATCCTAATTCAAAATAAGCTAAGATCTCCTCTAAGTGGTCTTCTGATTAAAAATAGTTCAAACATGAATGAGTTCCTTGAAAAACATGTTTAGGAATGGCTGAAGAACTTGATTATCTGGTAAGACAGGGCTTTTCCTCAAGCAGTTGTTACTTATCTGAGCACAATCTCAGAAGATATGAAGACTCATTTGGTCACCTACGTATACATTATTTAGCAGCCACGTGAACACTCCTGAAAACGTTGTGAAAATACCATGAATAATGTCATGGTTTTAACAGAACACTCAACATTTCCTTCTCATTTTAAAGACTTACCTGGTTGACAGGTTGTTGGGCAGGGGGTCCACTCGCTGAAGGGCGTAACCACACAGTCCTTCTTGCAGAGCAGAGGACAAGGTCGCACCGTCTCGGGTCTGATGGATTCTGGACATCTATTAACATGGACACGAGGACACCAGAGCACCAGTGAGAAACCAAACTGCAGGAAACATCGTCCTCCTAAGGTACTGTGAGGCCACATGTGGAGTGTCACAGCAAGGATCTCGCTCCTGTGCACAGCTCCCTCCCCTTCTGCACTCATGTAACTGAACTCAATTTGGTGCACTTGCATAGTTTAAATATAATGAATGTAACTTTCTRTAAGATACTTAAAACACGATGCTCACTGAAGCAAAAGAGCTGTATTTGTTACTGAAGAAGGCAAACAGTTACTTCCTTCAATAATAAATATACCTCCCTGAGGTATTATAGGAGGCACACTTTACACAGGGGTCCAGATTTTTATTCGAAATGTTATACAACATAGTACAGTAATAAGACCACTATGATTTTTTAATTAATTTTTAACTTCTAAATGATGAAAATGTAATGCACATTCCAATAAAATTTTCAGAAATCATTAATATTTAAAAACTGGAAGGGTGGCAGAGGGGTAATATTTGGGGATTTGGCACATCATGCATTTCAAGTGGGGAAACATGGAGAGAATTGACCTTTTCTAATTTTTAGTAATTTTTTGCAGACAGGCTACCTGAAAATACCTAGGAATGCAACCAAATGAGCACATTTAGAAAAGGAATATGCCRCTAAAACATGCTAGAAAAAAAAGAAAATCTTAAAGTCATGATTCTGTGACTGAGACAGTTATCAGATACTTAGCGGTATAATTCAAAACCAAATAAATACAAAAAGACATTTCTTCTCATTAAGCACGATTACTCTACAAGACAGAATTCTGTAATCTCTCCACTAAGACGTGGAAATGTTTTTCTGCACCGTTCTTGGTCTTATTCAGTTTCCGTTGGCTTGCACCTTCCTCATGAGGTACTGGGTAATTTTTCTTTGTGAAATCAGGAAAACCACATAATAAGAAAAATCCCGTATGCCAACACCCAGCAGTTATTTATGGACATAATACAACTTATTCCCGGAGCCGCAGCACTAGACCTGCAGCAGCTTTAAAAACCCAGCATTACTTTGGATCGGCTTTCATAAACTCTAATAGAAAATGTGCCCAGGAAAAATCTCACTCGGCTTCGGCAATTGCAGATCAGCTCTTGGAGCCCAAAGGGCGCCCAATCCACAAGGCTCTTCCCCTTCTCACTGCCTGACTTCCCATGAATATTTACTTTCCCCTTTCCATTCCGTTTCCCCTTAGACTCCCTCCAAAGTGAAGGSGACAAACAACTATTTAAACATCACACAGAACTATAAGCAATATGTTTAAGTAGGCAAGGTTACTGCATATCAATGGATGCTGGCTATAAACGAATACAGGATTTCTTTCCTTTTATTTAATTAATMTCATTAACCTCGGAAATTTTAATTAACTTTACTGAAATCAACTCAGTCTGCTTATATGAACAGGATTGTTTTGAGAGCTACAATAAGAAATGAAACTCAGCTGTAACTCTCTAGACTCATTAACAGTGCAAAAATAATTAGCAGTATCTTAATTTTTTTTGTATTAGGGAAAACATCTGTGCTACTCTTCTTCCTGGTTTAGTAAAGCAAAGCCAAATTCAGAATATGTTGACTGCAGAATACATAATTTTATTGTGTTGATACCACAATACAAAGCTACATAAATCAACAGAATGATACATATCACACCTACTATTCTGCCTTATTATGGGGTGAGCATAATGCAAAGCCTAATTATTTTATAAATTTTATTAGAGCATTGTTAGTAATTTTTTGATAAGTGTTATGCTCAGGTTTTGTTTATATTTTCCTCAAAATTCTCTTTCAGGAAAAACATTCCCTCAAATTGTGAACAAGAATATTAGAAGAGCTAAGGCAAAAACATTATGCCACTGAGAAGTGGGTTTTCCTTGCTTTTAAGTACAGAATTACAAAGAGGCTAGCTAATTTTTTTTTATCAATATATATCAGTATCCGTTTCACAGGAGTGACGGAATAGAGGAGAACTCATCCGGCTTTATAATAAAGCCAGTTTCAGAGCTGTGGTTTCCCTAAACCAGTTGAAAACGCTTCGTATTTTCTCTCTTTTAACCAAAAACGCCCGCTCAAGCCCTACACAGCCAGGGCCACCTGAGGCCACCACGGTCCCTTCCCGAGTACCTCTTGGGAGCGACGTGGCCGGTGCCGCTCCGGATGCAGGAGACGCTCCTGGTCTGCAGCCCCACTCCGCAGGCGGCCTCTGCGCTCCAGGCCACGGTGCCGTTGGGCCCGGACRCCGGGGCCCCTTCGGAGCAGGCGCTCCAGGGCGACGTCTCCCAGAAGAGGGGCGCACACGGGTGCTCGTTGCACACGCGCTGCTCCCGCAGGGCACGCGCGGGGGGACAGGCTTTCCCACCTGGAAATGGTTCAAGGAATATGGTATTTTACCCGGTAGCCAACGGCAGGAGGAAGTCACGGAAAAAACCAGTCCCGCTCAATGCCTTTTTTCCCTGCTATAAAATAAATAAATAAATAAATAAATAAATAAATAAATAAATAAATAAATAAATAAATGCGGCTTAAATAAAGCTGCTGACCTTTATGGCTGCAATAACAACCTTCTAAAATATTGTTTCCTCATTAAACTAGCCTTGCATAAAATTGTATTCCGACGCATAATGAAACCACAAACAGGCGAGGCGCATTTCCCAGCCACCTCACTGAGGCTCCCACGCACAGCCGGCACCGGCTCCACTTAACTGCCTGGACCACGCAGCAGACACATAGCCAGGTTTAAAGATAAATTAAGCRTTATTTTTATGCTCATTCTCCTTACTAACTCCCCAAGGAGAAGCATTTCCAGCACATGGATTCCCTCCATGCACGGACCAAAAGCACAGGGCTGCAAACCATTCTGCACCACAGTTTTGGGTGTTATATCCCTCYAGCACTTGCTGCCCTGCTCTGCGAAGTCAGGGGAAACATCTTCAGAGATAGGGTTGGAGTTTGAAGCCTCACTTTTCTGAGGTGGCCACTTTCAAACTGATGTTTAAAGATTTGGCTAAACTACTGTAATTCCAACCAGCAAGCTGAATTTATTCCATAAAAGAAACGGGCGTTCAAAAGCAAGGAAGTAATGCAGCGAAATCCTAACAATGAACTATGTCATTTCAGGATGAAAGGAGGAAAAATTACTAAAATCACAACCCTTCTCCTCCAAGAGGGAAAATTTGGCGGCTTGTGACATGGCAAGAGTCCATCAAAATTAGAGCTATAGGTTTTAAGAACTAAAGCGGTGGGCCGGGAATTCCCAAGGCAGGGAGCCCCCCTAGGCCCCACTGGGACCCCGGGGAGATGAAGGGACCCTGCTCCTCAAAGGACTGCCCACCACCAYGCAGGACTGCATCTCTCTCGACCCCAAATGGCCCCAATCAGTCACACTGAGGGAAGGAAAAGAGSGGAGTAATTTCCTGGGCAGCACACTGATTTGGATAATCAAGTCCATTACCGTCCTCTTTCTCTTCTTTTCATGGGAATGGAYGGCTCCACGTCGTGTTCACCCTCTGAACGATTTAGTCCCATCATGGAGCTGAAATTGGGGAGGTGAACTGGCCTCCGCAGYGAGCCTTCCTTCCTGACAATTTCTCCTGGGCAGGAAAACTGCAGAGCAGTTCTGGCTCTTGCATGTTCCAGCACAAGAGCCCGGCCACCCTCTGCAGCTCACAGTGGCTGAGCAATAAACCTGGAGAGCCCTTCTCCACCAAGCCCTATTAGCAGCCCTACCATAGAGCTGTAGACATGAGGACCATCTCGGGCATTTTGAACTTGCTTTAATTTCTCTAGTTTCCTCAGCTGCCCCCTGCTCCTCATATTACGGGATCTGGTGAACAGCTTGGAGAAAACACCCAGTGTTTGAACTGCAGTCAGATCCAGAAGTCCTTCAGAGCAGAAGATCTCAGTACTTCTGGTCTTCCTTTCTTAACATTAACAACTATTCAGACTTTATTCTACTTGTCTAATTCCATGTTTATCTGTATTTTGTCCCCTCCATGGAAAATATGAAGAAAACTTCATTTTTCATTTGAATTGTTTTCCAGCTCAAACACTTCTTTAGGTGTAGTTATTACCAGTCTACAATTACATAGCAGTTTTCATCCTGAAGGATTCCAATTTTCTTTACAAGTGCATAAGGATGTTTATATGAACAAAGACCATTCACATAAGTAAGGGTTTGCAAGACCAAGTCCTTACAGTGCCCCAGGAACAGCAGGCAGTCTTAATGATAATTGCCCAAATTGCTTTTACCTGTGCTTGGCTCAGACTAGATCTGCATCTAAAGGGTTTTGCCACCAGATTAGCTGCACATAGTGCTGACAATAATAGGTATTTTCTYTTGTGTCAACAAGGCTTTAGTCTGTTGAACCTGTGAATGTTTTATAAATTGTCCATGCTCTGTGTGGAATCCCTGCAATACTGGGTGATAAACCAACACACTCAAGGAATTGCTACTATATGTGCAACTACAGTTGGAAGACTGTAATTACAGTAAGAAATAGTTTGTGTAAAAAAATTGTCACTGTAACCTTGAAATGTTTAAATCCAGATATACGGTGTTTCAGTGAAGATCTAGAGGAAATTATACAAATTCATCAAGGGAATTTACCAACGCCAACAGAAGAAGAAGAGCGATATCTTTTAGGTTTGCAGTAATAATAAAGATCCTTTGCTATTTCCTTGCTTTCACAGCTCCCTCCCTTCTAAATCAGTACTAACACATAACTATATGAAAACACTTACATGAGGAGTTTAGGTCATTCAATAATTTCATTAGTGTAGGATGCAGCTGAAGTACATTCAGCCCAGGTTAGGCTTTAAAAATTCAATAATTTATGGGCTAAAGTAAATAATTTTGAACCGTGGCAGCATTTCTCCAAGTAATGCATGCATTAATTCAAGCTTGTAAAGATCTCTGAGTTTCTAGGCATGAAGTACAAACAAGTACAAACTGGGTTAGCTCTGATCCAAATACAGTCTGGAGGAGAAAAGCACTTTTTTTCTTTCCTTTTTTTTTTTTTTTTAATGAAAATGCAGCAACCAGTCTGACACATTTAGCACTCACCCTCTGCGGGAAGGGCCAGGATGGACCTGCTTCTGCTCTGACTCCCCTCGGCATTTTTGCCGGAGCACGACTGGGAGCACGGAGACCACTGGGACCACTCRCTGACCACGCAGTCCAGGGCACAAGGTACTTCACAGGCCGCTATCTCAGGACGGAGATGCTCTGAGCAAAGGTTTTGTGCTACTTCTTCACCTGGAACAAACGAGAAAAAAATAAGTGAGAACACAGGGAAAGTATGGCCTTGGTTCAATGTCCATGGTCTGTATCACACAGACAAGCTTTATGCTAAAGGCATTCCTATCAGTGGAAGAAWATACTGTAAAAAAACATTTGCTTAGGCTTTCTGGCTTGAAAGTAAAGTATTCAGAACAAGCAACTGAGACGGTTTTTCAGAAGAGCAGAAAAGAAAAATGTGCTTTAAGTTTGAGRTAAAACCTCTGGTTTCAGTCTGTTTCACAAAGGTGGCAACCATAAGGAAACAGCGTGATTCAATCAGTAAAAAATTATAAAATCAATTACCACCACAAACCCTGTATTTTTCATCTATGCAATTTTTCACAATGTGAACTGCACAGGTTCCCACAGAAAATGGTTTTCTCCCACCAGCTGGCCACAGAAGTGTCTAATAGACATTTTGGTCATTCTTCACCATCACAGAATTAGCCACATGTGGTTTCCAAGTGTCTCCAACCCMAGGAAATCCAGAACAACGAATCTGTTGGATCTCCCCAGCCCCCGGCAGGAAATATTTGCTAGTGGAGATGAACCAAGGGACTGGGAACAAAACCATCCTTCCAGCCAAGAAGCATCTTGTAAACTAAGAATGGAGACAGAAGCAGCTTCCTAGCACCTTGGCTATCCCTCTGGGAAAGAATAATAGCAGTGGATGCACAAGTCTCCTGGAATGCAAGAGGAATAAAACTGCCCATGAGTTCCGTGTCAACAGCAGGATGAGACTGAGGAGACCTCATGTACATATGAGTGTGACTTTCYACTGCTGATGTGATCCAAATAAATATACTAGTCAGATGAACAGTTACATCTTTCAATGCCTATGGCCTAAAATTATGCTTTTAAAATAAAAAGCAAAGTAAAATAATGAAAGAAACATCCAGTAACTTTATTAATTACATAGATTTTTATGGCAAATGCATAATTGATCGTAGTTCATAAAAAATAAATGAATTTTTTTTTTTTTGGCTCTGAATTACACCTTATGTTTTGCAATTATAATTCCAACGATAGCAGGAATTAACTCTACCAACTCTGGACAGATATGATCGACTTTGCTACACGGTTCCCTTGCTTGGTGCGGCTGGGCCCTCATGAAACTTCAGTTACAAATCTGAAATTTCTTGAAGCTCAAATTGAGCTGTTTATAGGCAATARGCTCACTCTGACCATTACCTCTTTTGTCCTTAAAATAGCTACAACATTTTCCTTTGAGGTTTCCTTAATTATGAATCTAGAAAAAAAWTACATAATGACTATCCAGGCTCAATTATACACAGAAAACAAATAAAATTCATAATGGCAACAAGYGAATAGCTCAAGTTCTTTCGCCTCACGTGCTATGGGCACGGAGGTCTGTAACGAGGCAGCCCCGAATGCCATTATAGCTACGAGGGTAGAAATCTGTATTGTTTTTGCAAGACAACCCACGCACCGGTGAGTAAACACGGGAGGCGGGCAGGCTGCTAGCAGGAGTGCATCAAGCTGACGGTGGCACYGGGGTATTATCCGCCGTTGCATCCCGAAATGAAGACAGGCTTATTGCCCCTGAGGCACAAATAAAATTTTCCAAGCGTATTATGAGAAGTAACAGAGAATCCAGCCGGCTATCAGGCTGCAAGAGACGTTGGAAAATAATACACGATGTACATAATACATCACACGCTTGCCTATGGTCATCAGGAAGCACTCAGTAATGAGCAGTTGTTGCAGAGCTCTTCTAAATCTGCTAGGTCCCAAAACGGAGAGCCAAAATCTCCCTACGGAAAGAGACCGTGGGGAGCAGAGGCCTGCAGCTGTGTGGCACTCGGCAGGCACTGCCACTCCTCACTGAGTCACTCGCACTCCATCATCACCAGTGCGGCCTCCGATGTTCATGTAACACTGAGCACTATCTTTAGAGAAAAATAATGTAAAATCCCAAATAAACTCGCAAGCCTCATTTCAACTGTCTCCTTGAGTTATTTTAGTGTCAAAGGCCCTGCTCAGATTTTGACAGCTTCTCTGTACTGCAGCAGATAACATGAGGGCATCCTGGTCACGCTTGATTTTAGTAATCATCGATACAGTAACACGAGGAGATTATACCCGTTGSTGAAATGAACAGTAAAGCATCTATTCCCCTTTTTCCATGCTTATATTCCCAGGCAAGGCACAACAGAGGTGTTCACACCAGCAACATGAGGCTGCAGAGCCACGGGGAAGGGGACAGGTCGCAGGCCTGGGTGCTACCGTGGACTCCAGGCATGAGAAACACACGTCCCTCCTCCTCATGCATGTGAGACTCTTCCTCACACAGGGACTTGAGCACGTAGGGACTTCCTGAAAGGCAATGCCAAAATGCTGAGAGCCACTGGAACTTTTCCACAGCCTAATCTGACTTTATAAAAGACTTCACAGCACCCCCTGCTCTGCTCAGAAGAGAGCCTGAAACACTCTGTTCTCCTTGGGGGTGGCTTTTTCCACCCGTGAGCCTTGGTTAACAGGAGGCACTTGTACTTCAGAGCAACCTTACTGTAGCGAAGTGAGGCAGAGGAGAAAAATCCTCTTTCCAGTGTTTCTTTTATATCCACATTGGCTTTACAGCAAACAACAGCAACAGCAGCATTGCAAACAAAAGCTGCAATCCACGGCTCCTCAGCAAAGAAAGGAAGATTTGAGTTTTGTTGCAAAGAGTTTCCCACCAAGTGCGTGAAGGGGCAATTCTGCATTCACTTCTGCGGTTTACCTTAAAGCTCTATTCACTGCATTCGGCTTTAATTATTAGCTTGTATTAACACAGAAATGTTACATTTTTGTCTGCACCAGCTACCTAGGAGAGAACTCTCAGAAAACCACATATGTGAGAAAAGAAGGCAATTATCTTTCATTTTCCACGAAAAATAGCAAAATAGGATACATCTGAAATGGGCTTTATGCATTGTCACAGATTTACAGGGGACATTACATTGTCCAGAGCTTTGTAGTCGTTCACTCGGTAGCTCGAAGGTATAATTCTTATCTCCAATACTGTGAATAATCTTCCCAGAGGAGTTCTGCTCTCGGCTAAACAAGAATATGTCTTTAAAGACCTAAATACTGCATCTAAACACAACACAAATTCCCCTCTAAACACGTATTTGGGTCTCAGATGTAGCAATCAAAATCGGGCATGGGGAGCAGGGGGATGGCAGATCACATCACAGGGATCCCCATCCGGATTACTTTCAGGAAACCCAGGGAGAAGGACAGTACTGATAACAACTTAGCTCCCTATCAACATTATTTTTTACCTGAGAACAGATGATGTTCCAGAGATCATCTTGGGCTACCCAGGAATTACCCGTAGTAGCACTTGGGAGCAGAGCAGGACTTCTGTAGACCATGGGTCTTTCCTGTGTCGAGCCCTAAGCAGGTCTCCTTGTGGGTAACTACACACTGCAAGGGCCTAATAAACTTCAAAGACTGGTGATGAGTAAGCAGAGCAAAGACAAAGACAACAGGCGACTTCAAAAAAGAATTAAAAAAAAATTAAGCCCAGTTAGTTTCAACTAGATCCTGCCAATTGAATCTAACCTATCATCAGTGACAGCCTCTGTYTCCACTGGCTCCCTTCAGGTATTTCTTACTTGCTCACATCACTTTTTAGCTAATGATTAAAGYTAAATCAGTAAGATATATATGACAGGCAACACTCTCAAAATAGGATGGATTTAATTCTCTTTCTTCTAATTATTAGACCCTGATGGGGGCAAATAAGGCAAAAATGGCATTATTGCAAGTATATCTGCTAATAAGGGTGCATTATTACCTGGCCCTTAATTCGAATTCTGAGAAAAAGTCATGAAGAAAGTGAAGTGACTACTGCCTCATACAGAGAGAAATAAAATTCTGATGGGAATTTTTAGTCCCTCTATATTCATATGAATGAAAATTTTCCCAGCAAAAAAGGAACGCCACAAAACTCTCTTTGAAAGATTGAATATATTTTTCCATAAAATTTAATTATTTTCCTATTTTCTTTCGAATGCTGAACGGACAAGGTACTTCCACGGTCCTGCCGTTGAGAGGCATTAAATCAACAGGAACATGTGAATCCCAGTGCATTCAGCATTAACCCCAAGCGCAGCTCCGGCACGCTATTTTCCTCTTCCCAGTGACCTGAGTGCTCAGCTCCCAAGACATCCTTTAATTACACCTGCCACCGAAGTGCCTCATGGCTCTGCAAAAGGTGTCACAACCTGGGAAATGCAAAGGARCCAATTTTCAAAGCAGCCAAGTCAACCAGACAGGAAAAGACTGAAGGAGCTAAAAAAGAAGTCCCACCAGGCAGTGGCAATTGAAAGATCATCAACTTAATGAATTAATATCCTCCCTTTGCCATTCACCACTATTCCACGTGCATTTTTTATCCAGTGGAAAATGTGAACTAGTATTTGGAAAAATCTGCTTTGCACATGCGTGGGGAAGCTCCATGACCTCTGCAATGGGGAAAGGTCTAAGGCGAAGGAACTGCATTTTTGATGCCTCTGCATTGCTACCAGGAAGCCCTGAAAATTTACTTTTTGCACAAATGACTGCTKGAAAAATGCTGCATATTTAATGACACTTACCAGTTTGACATCAATATTTCTCCTTGTAGCATTTGAAATTATTCTCTGAAAATAATGAAGCCGTCATCTAAAATACTATACATATCGTAAAATTTTATGTCCCATTTAAATCTCAGAAAAGAATGACAATAAACTTTGATTAAATGCTTGCCTGTAACAGAATAAGATGTCAACAGACTGTAGTAAATTCAGAAAAATTCACATTGACTGCATGCCAGTTTGCTGAGGGCAACTGCGTAGCTGCTTCGGAGGAAGCAGCCTGATGACAAAACCTTGGCCTAGACACCTAATCAGCAAACAAAAATGCTACATTTAAAAGCAATAACAATCAAACTATAACAATAAGAGAAATGGGATATAGCTGCTGTG